TGAAAAAGCCAAAGCTTTAAGGAACTAAACTCCATATAGAAAACATGCAAGTTTTAAGTATTTAGTGATGAGACCCTTAGAACCAAGGGTATCCTCTCACCCTTGCTTTCTAGTGGGAAGTGGTGCCATTTCACCTGTTTGCATTAAAAATAATAATAGGTTTTGAGAGAAAGAAGCAGAAGCTAGGACTCAGTTGTCCCCAGATAAATGAGTCTAACCACAACAAAGATATGCTTGCCTTGCTTTGGCTCTCCTTGCATCCTTGTGAATCACAAAGAGCTTCCAAAAGAGACTGTATAACCAGAATTTCATATTGCTTCAAAGACTAATGAACCACCAGACCATCATAATAATAATAATAATAATGGCCCATCTTCGCGAACGAAGATTTGGGGAAAGGTCTTTTTACCTTTCCAGCCTGCGCAATGGATTTTTTTTAGGTGAGACACAGCCTGTGCTGAACTGAGCCCACCCTTTAATCCTAAGGTTCATCTGCCGGGGCCAAGCAAGCTTGGACAATGGCAGTGAGGTCCTCAGGACATAGGTTTGTTTACAGTGTCCTTCTCATAGATGGATGGCCACACAGGGCTAACGACCTCCATCAGGCCAGGAGACCGGGGACTCGAACCCGTGGTCGCAGCAGTGAAAGTCCTGCACGCTAACCACTAGGCCACCGGGAGGATATTCCTCAAGAAGCAGGAGATTCCTATCAAAAAGTCACCTTGCAAAAATAAGGCTCTAAATGGAAAAGTAAGTAGCAGTCCCAGTTCTTTTGAAGGAAGGGGTGAGGAGAACATGCAGGACAAGATTCACAGACTTAGCTCCTAATGAACGTGTCATCCTGAGACCAGAAGGTATGCACTAACATCTCAGGGAGAAACAGGTCAGAAACCCTCTTCAGCCAAACACTAAAGGCTGGAAGTAGAGCATTTTCCAGTTTACAGGGATTTTAGGGGGCTCTGGATGGTTTTTCAAGTCTACATATTCTGCACTACTGTTTATTCACTGGATCCAACATCATGGTTTCAGTATAAGTAGTTTAAATGAGTGTTAAATATCAATGGTAGAATTTAAACCTATAAATATATCTATCGGCTGTTCAACTTTCTCTTTTTTAACTCAAGGACTTGTTTCCTCCCAAGCAGCTTTCTATCTGTTGATTGTGTGAGCACTCCTCTACCTGAATATTTCAGAATTTAAGTATTTTCATGCAAGATACTATTTTTTTGCAGGTTCTACTAATTAACATTATGAAAAAAAACCCTGTTACAACACTTGATTTCCCAGAGAGAAACTACATAATCATATTGCTTCTTGTCATGTGCAATATACACTATTTCTTCCTATCTGCGATTGTGTTAGCATACAGAAATGCCCATTTTACTCTTTTCCAAAGTTTGTAATGGCCTTTAAATTTGCACACTAGCTTTTAAAAACTAAGTTTTAAAAATTATACTTGAAATAGATTCTGCAGATCTCATAAATGAACATCATCTTCTTTATTTCTTCTCCCCATCTCTACCTGTCTTCTGGCATGCTGTACTCTTCTAGTTACTTCTCAAATGAGTGCCTGCTATTACCTGACTGCATAAACAGTCATTCAGAGAGTTCAACAAAATCAAAAATCGACTTCCAATAAGCATTTTTTTCAAAGTGAGAAATTCTGCCTTATTTAAGTGCATGTGTTTTTGCTGAAATTACTGAATCAGTACTACAAAATTATTTTACACCAGAAGCCAAACTAGTCAAACACAGAATATCTTTCAACTCTCCCATCAATAATAAAAATACCATAAGATTAATTCAGAGTCAAAACACAAAGCACTTATGATGCACTAGTGGTAATATCAACTAACCAATTTTCTTTCCTTAGTAATTCCCACGTGAAAATCCATGGGACTAAATCCTCACAATCCATTCACTTTATCATGTCTCACCCATAGCTGTTCCCTTCAGGGAGATTATCCACATGCCGACCAAAGAAAGCTATTTCTGAGGCTGTGCCTCAAGCCACATTGCAAATTCCAGCATAAAGTATATATGAAGAAAATCTTAGACACAGGGCAATTTAGGAAAAGGGGTATCCAACTGTATGATTTAGAAAGCCTATCCTGTGAATCTTAAAAAAAAAATAAAATTATGTGCCAAAACAACTCAGCATGGGCAGAATTTATGTTGCCCCTAATCTCAGAAGCAGAAACCTTGCCTTCTAATGGATTCCAGAAGAAATCAGTAGTTCAGGGAAAAGATTGTAAAGACCATTATTGATGCCATGACATTGTTTCATCACTTTGAAAACAAAGAAACAGTTACAGTAGAAGGGCAAATGTTTCACATGAAGTGACTAAGAGGCTTACTTTACACTAGCTGAAGAATATATTGTGCCATGGTACTATACTTTATCTGACTAATGTGCTTAAGCTGGAATTGGGTGTGTCCTACCAGATTCCTGCTCATGTTGCTAAATGCAGATTGAAGAAACTGCTTACAGTATTGTTCCACTGTCAACAATTGACACTGAGGAAATAAAGGGGAAAAAAAGTCTCTCCAAAAACTTAAAGACAAAATAACTGGCACCAAGATATGTTTAAGATCCCTGTTTCTCTGCTATTTCCACACAATCTCATTTAGGTAAGGGCCATTCCTCTCACCCGGTGTTGTCATACCAACCAGAAGATATGAACAGCTAGGATGAAAGGCTTGAAGAAAGACTCCAGGAAAACAAATTTTCCACATCACAACCAGCTATGCTAATCCAGTCTTAGAATAAACATCACAAGTCCTCTGACCTTTTTCTATTTCTCATGCAGGAAAATGGTATCTATATGCTCAACTACACTGACATGTAATTATTCTTTTTTGTTTGTTTGTTTCAGATGCGAGATCATGAATCTGAAGAAAAACTTGCCACAGATCATGAATCAATTAGGTGCAAGGACCTGTTCTGAAAACCAGAAACTACGGCCTATACTGAATTGGTAGTAATGTTGCCTAAACAACCATATTAACACTGGTTGTTCAAAGCGCATCTTCACTGACAGTGAGCCTGGGGGCACACACTTGTCAAAAGCTTTCAACTTTCCTCAGTTAAACATGTCTACCTGAAAAGTCTGCATGCACACCCAAAAGGTTCATCCTTGAACCAAGCTTAAAGCCTTACAAACAGTGCCTGAATAATTATAATAAAATTCAATGGGTCGAGAAGACAGATAAAAGACAAGTCCACTTTTCATCTCAAAGCAAAGTCAAAGTTTGGTACTTGGGCAACAGTTAGGATTAATCTACATGAGACAATTACAAAACTTTAATATCTATCTATCTATCTATAGATATTACAAAACTTTAATTTATATACATATATAACACTGTACAGTTAAGCCCATATAAAGACCCATGCTGAATATTTTTTTCAGGTTTTAGGTAGCTTAGATTCTTAATAATTATTAAATGACCTGTTATACATGTACTGTGTGTACTACACTGGATCTTCAATACGTGTAGGCTTGGTGGTTCAGAAATTTAAGACAACTCTGAAGTTTTTGAAGTAGTTATCTGTGTACACCACTGCATATACATTTCAAGTAATATGGTTACCACTGTTGCTGTTTCTTTGCATTTCCACAAGGTGAAGAGGTCCCAAGCCAGTGGTCTGTTCCTGATATATAAGCTCATGTACAAAACAGCTGGTCTTTACTCTGAAGAATCATAAATTATCATGACAGACAATGGTCAGACAATGGAAATGTGTATTTATTTCTTGGTAAGCGTAACAAGGAGCACATAGCACTAGCTGTATTAGTAATGGCTTATATCTTCTGCTGTGAAAAAACACAAAGCCTGCAAGTTACCTTTTTTCTTTTTAGAACTAGGATCTTTGTATCGTGTTACGAGGTTAAAGTGTGCTGTGAAACTGCATGATGTGGCATCATGAACTTCCTCATCCTGACTGTGTTTACATTTCCACACTAATTTCTTCCCAGCAGAGAAAAGTGAGAAGTTTTGGGTTACCATATGAAGAAACTAAGTCTGATTTACATTTTGTAGATGAGAGTCGATGCTGGCTCACAGGTTTTGTGAAGGAAAAAAAAAGAAATGCCTGTTTCAGTTCTGTTAAACTTACGGGATGGTGCATTTTCATTTACCACTAAATTAAGTAACTCAAGACCTTCCAGCTGTGTACTCCAAATTTGGATGTTAGCTCAGAAGTGGCTAGCTTGCTCTCATTTCCAGAGTAAAATGCTCACCTTCTGGTTGCATGCCTCACACAAGGACATCAGACTGTCATAAGCCTGAACTTCTGAACTAAAGAGAACTCTTGGTGTTGCTTTTCCTCTCCCAAAGCTTATTTTAATGCTTATGCTGCCCAATCATCGTTCTGTATCATTCCAATCCTTGTGACAGGTACTGACCTAACAGCCCTTATGCATTCACAGTGTAGAGGTGGTTGGCACTGCAAAGTGCCATACAAATTACGTCACACCGGAGAGGATGTTTTGAAGGCACCATCCATCAGATTCCTGAGGGTAATGGCAACTCTAGAGGACACTGAATCAAGACCATAAATTTATTTCATATAAGTCAATGAAAAATGACAGACAGGGACAAAAGCTGGATTTGAACTGATCATCTAAGGAGGAAAAGCTCCATATCCCATTGTATTGAGCTATCTGGTACTCTGTTTCATTCTCTGCCTCTGGCTCAATATTTAAAACACAGCAATACTCAGAAGATACATTGGGTCCCTTTTCAAGAAGATAGATAAGAGGAAAGGAAAACACCTGTTTCCTTCGTAGGATTGCTGTTTTTAAGCAAGAAGTATGTCTTCAGATTGAGATATGCTAACTTTTCTGTAGCAAAGGTTCTTGTATTATTTCCTGTGGCCTGCCTAGCAGTTTATTATTAAGAAGCAGTGACAGAAAGCAGACAAGAGAAGGGCACTCAGACCATGGCAGTGAGAAATTCCTCTTAAGAATGTTAAATCTTTCTTTTTAGAGACTAACCTGCACACTTCTAAGTCATCAGACCAGTCATCATAGAACACTGGAGGCTTCTGAACAGCATGAGGCACAGTGGGCCCTGCCCCAGCAGGTGCTCCATTATCTGGGACTGCCAGAGCATCACTGCCAGAGCCTGCCTCTGCAAAGGAGTCCTTCAAATCTTTACTGTGTCTAAAGTAACGTGCAGGCTGACGATCTCTGTGGTAGCTTTTCCCTTTGCTTTTCCCACATTTTCTTGAGGAAATCCTTGCTTCCTGAGATGATGCTGAAGACTGTGATTCCTTAAGCCTTGGAACCCTTCGGCGGTGGTTTAAAGTAGGATTCTCAGGGTCAGATACCTCTTGTTTCTTTTTTCCCACTGTCCCCAAGGTGACAAGTTCAACAGCATTATTGCTTGAGGACCCATCCTGGTTACTGCATGATCTATTGTTTCTTCTCCCTCTCCTGGCCAGTCTGGCCTTTTCTCTTGCTCTCCTCCTAGCCTGAGCCCACTGACTCTCATCCGAAGATGATGATGAATCAGATGCATTCCAGCTGGATCTCGGAGGCTCAGGATGCAGTTTACAGTCTTTCCCCTTTCCTTGCTTTTCTGTGTGCTCACCATTGTCTCCAGTCTCTCTTTTCCGCCTAAACCTTCGCTTTACGTGTTTCTTACCAGACTCCCTATTAGAAGGGGTCAGCACCATGACAGGGGTTGCATGTTCAAGCTCATCTTCTGACAAGTCATGCAAGGTAGTAGATCTAGACAAAGCAGTAAGCAAAGGAAAGGGATGGAAATGGTAAGGGTGGGTGGAAAGAGAGAAATCACAAAAAAAAAGGATGAAAATGAGAACATGAATTTTAATAGAAAAACATGAGAATAAAAGCAAAAACAAAACCAGAGAGATCAAAAGAAAACTAAAGTCTATGTAAATTATGAATAAAGTCAAGCAGAAGCAAGAGCTATACAATATTTAATAAAAACAAATAACAAGTATCAGCCATATTAGAGTATACTTTTCTCAGTACATACCTACAAATGTCCTGAGTGGAAGGGCAGACAGACAACCGTGACTGACTCCTGGGAGCTGTTCCTGTTGTAGGACTGCTTGCCTGTTGAAATAAGTTAGACAGTTTGGAATCTTTGTCCATGAAATACATTGCAGATATTTTACTGCTTTGCCACATGATAAAAAATTAAAGTAACTGTTTCTGCTGTTCATAGCTCCCTGTTGAACACGTACAAGCTCACAAAATACAGGAAGCTTGAACAAAAGTGAAACCTATTTGTGGAACTAAGAATGACTGAAGTGTTTGAGCTCTCATTCGCTCATGACTACTTTTTGTCATTGTTTGAGGAAGCAGCTTTCAATATTTGAATTTTCATTTTGATCTACTGTAAATGTCTGATGGGAAAGGATATTGTTTTTATTTCATGCAATCAAAAAAACATGATGATTCCTTTCAAAATGGCATGAAGTGCATTTGTATTATGCTAAGTGATGAAGAACCCAAAGCTAACCTATGTTGGACTGAAGAAACAGTGAGAAAATTAAAGTGTGTTTTAAAAGATTTTCAAGGCAATCAGATCTCCTAGAAGAGCTGAAAATGTTAAACTGATGAGCCTGAGAAGACCAAAGTGCGGGCTGCATCTCTACAGAACACATCTCATTCTGTGAATGTGAACAGATCACATTCTCAAAGAGCAGGAGATATAAAACATATTTAGTGTGTGAAATTTTGCTCCTAAGGTTGTTGCTACAACTTGCAGATTCAGTTACTCAATACTTTCACTGAAAACATATTTTGATGGTGTTAACAGCAAACCATTTCAATCTGCCTCACCATCTACTGGCAGCAGAGCTGTATGGAAATGTAAATCCAAGGCATTTTGTTTCTTCAGGATCCCTCATGAGACACAGTATTTTGGGAAGAGGATTCAATACAAATAATTCTTAAAGTTCTTACCTTCCCTTAGCTGATTAAGGGCATTAGCTTTTAGTATGAAACCTATCCTGTTGTGAGCATCACTACCAAATGCAGACAAAAAAATTACAAGGCTGAGAGCCCCACAAGATTGTGTACCAGATGCAAGGGAAGGATGACTAGTAAGCAAGAGTACAAATTCCAAATCATACGAAGATGTAAAGGCTGTCATTGCAATCGCTTGTACTAGCAAATCAAATTCAGTCACATGTAGAGTCTGTAATTAAAATTATTTCTAGCTCAACTGTCACAGATATTTTTGTGGTGTCAAAAAGGTGTTTGAAAATTAGTAGTATGAGCAAAAATAATTACATACAGCAAGCACCTGCTGACACTTCACTTTTATCCAGGGTTCTTAATATCCATTACATTTAATGCATACAGCTTTTGGAAACATCAGTCACCACTGTGTGCATTTTTGCTTTTGACTGGATACCAGCTGAGACTTAAGAATGGTGCTTTTGCATTAAAACAATCTTCTAGCTTTTGGAATTCAAGTAACCCTTTTTACCTATTGATTAATATCACAAAAATACACCAAAATCCACTAACAATAATACTAATTTTTCACTACCATGAATGAAACTTGGAGATACAAAAACAAAGCCAACTTGAAAAATGAAATTGATAAAGCATATGGACACAATGTTTTTGCAATGTCTGGAGGAACAAGGAGGAACATTAATGTTCCTCCATGCAGTCTAATGTGGAAAAAAAGGACAAGTATCAGTGAGAGAAACTGTATTTCACATCTCCTTTTCTACAAAAGAAACATTTCAATCCCATGTACTGTGACAGAGTATGAATTTTTCTTACATGCATATTAGAAACCTATGGTATATATGGTTGAGTATATAATATTCTTCCACCTCAGCCTCTGTGATTAGCTTTATGTAATTAGGCATACCTTAAGCTACTTAATGAGAAAGTATGTAGACATCATCACCAGAACCATGTTGCTGGGCTACATGCTGCTGCTGCTGCTGCTGCATGAAAAAATGTCCCTCCAGACTAAACCCCAGGTGAAGGACTGCTGAAGCAATCCAGACCCAGAGTCAAGTGTGGACTCCTGAATTCATTCCTCATGATGAGCTCCCATTTCTTTTTTCCCCTCACAGCTGCAGGACTGTTACCATTGCTTCTTTCAGGATCACTGTACTACAGGGGTTTGGCTTGATCTTAAGCGGTGGTCAGGTCATCTCCATGCTGTAAAAGCTATTTTTATATCATCTTGCCACAAGCATCCTTTGAAGGGATAAGGAGAATGGATAAGCTGGCCCTGTAACTATACAGTAGGTCTGCACTGGTTCAAGAAAGTTTGAGCAGCTATTAAAGCAGGAAGTCAGCTAGACAGTTCTTAAGAAGGCTGAAATCAAGCCAAAAATTAAAACAAAGTCCTTGAAAAGCTTTTACACTTACTATTTGCGACTGCAGACAGGTGGAAATCTAATTATTTTAAAATAAAAATTACATTACCAGTTTGATTACCTAAATCTTATATCACTATCAACTGTAAGGAGATCTGGACTGTTTCAGCCCTGCTCAGTCAAATTTACTTTCTAGTTCCCCTGCGCTGGCACAATGATGTTATGTTTAGCTGCACATAACTCAGAGAAAAGTTTATTTCCTTCAAAAATAATTTATGTAAAAATCTTTTTAAAAAATGAATGCTTTTAGCTTGTTTGTCTAATCCCTATTGGAGCAAACATGACACTTGGGCAGACAAAATACCAATGCACCACTTAAGTCTTCAAAAACAAAGCAAGAAAACTCCAAAATACCAAGTTATCCACAAGATAATTCAGATTCTTACCTGTGAGTAAGTTTATTCAATTGGCTTCTACAACTTTTAAATACAAATTTTGATTTTTATCTACTTTAAACGAGGTCCTAATGGTAAAAATCACAGAATCATAGAATTCCAGGTTGGAAGATACCTCAACGATCACCTAGTCCAACTTTTCTTGGCAAAAGCACAGTCTAGACAACATGTCCCAGCACCCTGTCCAGCTGCACCTTAAAAGTGTTTGATGCTGTAGAAATAAAAATTAACTGATGGAGTGATTCATAAAATCAAGAAAGTTAGTGTTTCTGATATTAATTTTCTGATCCTTATCTGTGTACTTCACAGGTATTTATTTTGTAAATAAATCTAGTCTTATCTCTGAAAATTATATAGGAGTGGAGTGACCTGTTAGTGTCAAGTCTGTCCCTGCTACCACATGCCACATGAATATAATAATTCACAGCTTGTCAAGCTGTTTTTAAAAACCTGTAAAATTCAACTCAGCTGGAAGCCTAGTCCAGACTTTGCCCCCAAACCCCTCTGCTTTTTCACCCTTCCCTGTTCTGACAGCATTAATTGCATCTGCTTTCTGCTACCAGCACTTCCTCCAGGCTTACCCCAATTCTTGGGGCAATATCCACTCTTAACCATCTCCTCTACAAGCTATACATCCCAAACTAATTGAAAAAAAATAATAAAAATTATAGTCTTGAATCCAGTCTCAGAGTGAAGATACCTAATGTGGCATTTAGTTGGATTGTCTATTTACAGAGAGAATTGTGTATGTTCAAGGCATATTCGACAAATGTGAACAGGATAGTTTGAAGGTATTCTGCTCTCATCAATCCAACTCTTTTGGGAATACATATGCAACAGATGTTGCAAACAGTCTCAGGTAGACAGATCTTATTGCTATAATTGCTATCCCATTGCTATATTGCTGTGCAGCACACTGAATATTTTAAGATACTGTATTTAGTGAATAAAGGGATCAGATTGATGCTGAAGGACTCTAATTCCACTTGGCAGGCAGAATAATGATTTTTTTAAAAAATAGTATTCCTTAAATGAATGTCCTGTTCAGACAGCTATATTGTACAGCTTATTGGAAAGGGAAAACTAAACAAGCACTAATTTTATCATAGCAAATTATATCAGCAGCAGAATTAAATGTGGTAATTCAAAATAAAGCTGTTTCACAATTAATTTATGAGCAAGGTAGCTCATTTCTCTATGCCATCAACACAAGGAAGAGGTTTGAGGGATAATGCCAACTGCAGCTGATTAGGTTTGACATTTCAAAAACATTGTTAGTAGAGAGAGATTCCCCAGTCACCACCTTCAGCTGTCTTGGCCAGTTTAGATGAACTCTCTTGTCAAGGATATGCAATTCAATTAACAGACATGACAGAGCACTCATCCATAATTATTTTTGGTATGTTCAACAGGAATTGATATGTGCCTTTCAAACAGAATACTGGTAAATACAGAGTTTTCAGGACAAGTGAGATGATAATCATGTACCTGACACAAGGGGACTTTAGTGTCACACACGTGTCTGTGTTAAAAGACCAGCAAAGACAGAAACAGGAGACAGAAAGAAGTTCAACTGATGAAAGCAACAAGAATTTCAAATCAAGACTGTCTTTACTTTGGCATTCAGGATCTGACAGAATTTTCCAGATAATAACAAAAAATTGGGAGTACTCATAGGCCATACTTAACCCAGGGTTGCTTAACCCTGCATGTTGAAACTAGTTCAAGAGCATGGGTCAAGTTGTGCTCTTCTTAAGAACAGAGAAGGGCTCTACTTTGACCTAACAGAAAAGCTGAGTAAAAACATGTTCCACAAGTGCAAAGCATGCACATAGGAATGGAGTGAAGCTTTAAAATAACAAACCAGATGTAATGGACAGCTTATATAAAATGGCCTCACAGATATCACCGAAAGGCTAATGAATCCTCTGATGTGTCTGTTCTAAATAAGGAAGGCCAGAGGTATTTCCAAAAGCTGGTCAACTTACAACATTGCTTAAGTAGAAAGTTGCAGAAAATTGACGGGTGTTAGGGCAGACGGAATATATCTACTGCTTTTATTCTCCTATTGAGTTTGCTCTAATAGCAGTGATGCATCACAGAATCCTCCAGATCCTACCAGCCATTATAGTTAAAAAGATGAAACTCTATCCTATTTAAAAATCAGTACCCAAAGGGACGGATACCTTAGAAGATGAGAGCAGTTTGCATGGCAATAAGCTCAGCAGGAGACTGAGACTGTGTATTTTAATCTGAAAATATTTGCTTTGTAAACCATGCACCTTTTGTGGAACACATCACCTTT